ACCTGACACTGTCGACTTACGGAGAAGGGGTTTTGGGACGCAGGTGGCGGGCAACATAGGGTGCCGGGTTCTAGGGTTTGGGAGAAGGCGTGGCGGGCAGTACAGTAGGGTTTTGGGTTGAGACAAGTGTAAGGGTGTTTCCTTTGGGGGTTAAGCCCTTTTGGCCAATGCATTCGCCTTTTCATGTTGAGAAAATCGATGGCTTGCGGCTTTCGTTAATTCTACGCCCTTTTCTCCTGTGGGCTTTTTTGCCTTCTCTCCAGGCTGGTGCCTTGTTCTTCTGCGCCTGCGCTAGCATCCATGCGGCTCCAGGTGGCTTTGCTTGTAGCTGTTGGCCGGTGCTTCCATAGCCGCACCTTTTTGGGAGTCTGCTTCCTTGCGCTAGTGGCCTAGTTAGTGTAGCATTCACCCAGTCTTCATGATGTCCATATGTAACCTGCATCCGTGACCATGATCGCAGAGCTGCCCTTCCCGAGGACGATCGCAGCAGTATTCGTTCGGTTTCCCGGAGAGGCAGCGACGGTTGAGCGATGTGAGCGTCGTCGTGGGCTTTCACCTGTAGCCGGACGTCTTTGTGGCATGTGGAAGGCAGCGCAGCCTCGCGGGGGAGCAGAGCACTAAGCGCTGCCATCAGCTGCTCTGCCAATGCCAGCAGCTCAGCAGCTCAAAGCTCTGCCATTGGTCACTTTGAGTGCTCAAATCCATGCTTCGCAAGGCCTTGTTAAACACAAGCGGCGGGGCCTGCAGGCCAGCGTTCGCGCAGCAAGCGGAAGCCCTTTTCATGCCTTTCTCGGAAGAACCACCACTTCCGGCACTGTGCAGGAATGCATAGACAATGGATCGTAGCCGTGCCTCCGCCTCAGAGGAGAGTCGTGATCGTGAAGCTAAGTTATCAGTCTGCTGTATACTGCACCACAAAGCATGCGATCTTGCGATTCCATTGCTTTTCTCAAGCTTCGCACCCTATGCTGCCACGGTGCTGCAGTCTACAGCATCCCTGAGCCGTAACGGTACATTGGGCATAGCCCCTGAATGATTAGTCTAAGATTCATTGAGACCAATGCACGAGGGGTGTCGTGGTACCGTCTTGGCCCTCTCTGTCCCTCTCTCTCTGTCTCTCGCTCTTGCTTGTGACCCTCTGCGGTGCAGCCTCGATGAAAGCCGATGTCGAAGGCGGAGGTGCTCTGGCAGGTAGTCGGCGGAGCTGCTAGCGGCGGACTCGTGGTCCGAAGTGGTGCATCCCTGACAACACAGCAAGCCGACCTTCGCTTGGCCAACGGTGCCATCGTGCGGCAGTTGGAGGCAAAGTCGGGGCGACTGCGCTATGAGCTGGTCCGTGGGACTGGGCCCAGCACTGGATGGGTGAGCCTCTGCCTGCATGGAAGGGAGTTGCTTAAGAGACGCAGCGCGGTGCAGGAGAGTAGCAAGGATGCAGGCACTGAGGTGCTTGCTCCCCTCCAGAAAGACATTGTGGCAAGTGCACCAGCTTATTCGAGGCTTGCCTGCACCGTTTGTATGGGATAGATTGCATGTAAGCTGGACTAATATGAGAGCCGACGAGTGGAGAAGCTAGTGCCACGGTTTTGAGTCACAGCTCTACAGCGAGACGCCCGTCGAATGCCAGAATTCCGGTATCTGCTCCGTGTAGTCAGGATGTCCCCGACGCCGCCATGGGCGCCTCAAGGCGCAGCTGCAGTGGTCAGTCCAACATGAAGAGGTTCCCCGAAGAAGCTTTGTCTATAAGGATCCCCTGGCTACACAAGCTACAAGGGACTCTCGGCTGAGCGGGGCAGCTGTCACTGTTTTTAGGACAGGGAAAGAGTGTGACTCAATCCACAGCGTCTGGATTGGATGTACGGTCTGAGGACAGTGCCCGACTGCAGAGGACAGTGCTCGCAAAAGGGCTACTTAGTGACCTGTGAGATTCGGCTTGAGAGGCGGAAACCCACGGAAACCTTCGAATGCGGGTGTCAGGCTCATGTTGTGGGAGTCGTGTGGTATGTGTTGCGTACAGCAGTTGCCTGTCCCCGCATTGAACCGCGTGTCACGAGGCAGGTGCCTTTGAACCGTCGGAACCCTTCTGCTTAGAGCATCGGGCGCCGAATATGGGTAATAGCAACAGTAACAGTAATAGTAATGTATGGGATTTTGTGCCAAGACTTCTGGCTGCTCTGTGGGAGTTTGGGATAAACTGTTGAAGTGGTGGCATCAGCCTGGCCCTTCCTGGAGTTGAACACAAAACAAACCTCAGAAAGACCCTTGCTAGCTCGTGTAGATTGTGAGCATGGCTGCTGCTTCGCAGGAAGCGGCTTGGGACGCAATGCACCTCGGATACACCACGATAATCAGAGATTTTTCAGTTGCTGGTGCGTTGAATTGCCCCACACCACAGTTTTTTCGCGATTGCGAGCATTCTTTGCGCAGCGGAGGGTACCACCATCCCCCGCCACAGCCACCCCCACCACCACCTTCAGCACCACCACCATCACCGCCACCAGCGGCAGCAGCAGCAGCACCACCACCATCATCATCACCATCATCAGCAGCAGCACCATCATCATTATCGTCGCCGCCACCATGAGCAGCAAAGCCACGAGGAGCAGCAGCAGCCTCATCACAAGCTGCGTCTTCAGGTATGGCGTCAATTTGTCGCAGTCGCAGCAGCCTGTATGGAAGTCCCCAGGCCTTGTGAAGCGTGCACTGCCTTCAGGATTTCGGATCATGGAGTATCGGACTCGAATTTTCCAAGGGTGGCAGTCTTCCATGCTGCATGTGGGCAGTTCTCTAAATTCGGGTGCTTTTTTCGGGTCCTCCTTTAAGGCTGCCGGAGCCAAAAGGGGACCCTAATTTGGAGAACTACGCATCTGGTGCCCTAAACCCTAAACCCTAAACCCTAAACATCCCTAAACCCTAAACTAAACCCTAAACGTCCCTAAACCCTAAACTAAACCCTAAACCCTAAACCGGTTTCGGGATCTCCGGAATGTCAGGCTGCCGGGGCGTGCCGATCCCACGCCGCTGGGCATCGACAGAGCCCCTCCACTAGGGGTTTGAGGCTGTCGGGTTGTCAAGGTGTCAGCATTCAGGGTTTCAAGGTTTAGGGCTGTGTTCTACGGGTTTTGGAGCCCAGGTTTTTTACGCCTTGATTTTCAAAGGATGTCTTTGTACGGGAGGTTTCCGGTAGATGGGATCCTTCCCGTCCTGTGCCTCTGGCTTCAGAGTTGTACCAGCATGACAGCACGCTTCAAAAGCGGCGTGAGGTTCGGTGCTTCCAACCATAGCGCCCGTCCCTGATGGGAAGATGCCGCCCGGCTTGCTCTAAGTGCGGCTGCGACACCACGGGCTTGGCGTTTTGCTTTCAGGCTTGTCAACATTGACTTTGTCAGCTGCCCCTCGGCTCTTTCGATTTCTTCAGCTCCCAGTGCTCTCCGGCTCTCGCAAAAAGCCTTCCTGCCGCCCTTTCAGGTACCAGCTGACCCCACGGGCATCTGGCAAAGCACATACTGTATGCTGCTATCCACGAGAGGGAAGCCTCAGGCTCCCGCCTCGCCCCTCGAATTGAAAAGCTGGCTCTCGGGCTCTTGGGGGGGTTCTCCTTTTTGCTTCGACTCCTCCACGGCCCCGGGGGGGTGGCCGAGCGCATTCATATGCCTGGAGGTCTACAAAATCTACCGACGCCCCCTGCCCTTGGAGCAGGGCTCGCCGTCGCATCTTCTGTATCTTGCCGGCAAGATGCTGCAGAGTCACAGGCTGCCCCCACCCTGGCTATGCGGGCTGATCTCGCTGCTTGCCCAGGCGCGCGCAGAAAGGCAAGCGGCTTTGGCACGGAGCGCTGTGACTGTGTGCTGGTTGACGATCGTCGAGCTTGTGCGAGCCCGGCTTCTGTAAACGGGTTGCAGGAGGTGGTTGCATTGTGTGACGGGTCTTGTCGTTCTTGAATCGGGTCCATTGTACCATGCCGATGCTCGGCATAGCGGCTCATGATTTGCTCAGCTCCTGAGTGCTCGCATCCGCCCAGCCTAAGCAAGCATCGCTACTCGTTGAGAAGAGCTCTCTTCCCCCCCTGTCAGATGCATAAGCCCTAAACTTCCAAGCTCCTGAGCCCTTTTTCCGTGTGCCCTTGCAGGAGACGAGGAAGCCAGGAAGAAGGGTGAGGAGATGCTGAACAGGACCAAAACCCGGACCCCCCTGAACCAAGGCCTTATAGACTTATAGAGTCTGTGTGCTGGGATCATTTCTTTGTTCAAGTGCCTTGACATTGGCGACAGGATGGGTCCTAAATATGGCATCCAGCCCCATGGTTGCACCAGGGTTTAGGATTCAGGGTTTACGGTTTAGGGTTGAGGGACTTGTTATCTGCCAGTCTGCCTCGTCTCGCGGGCAACCTGTGAGCTCGTCAGTGCGAGCTGGCCGTGCACCGTGGTTTCGTCGCCAAGGGTCGGCTCAGGTTTTCGTGGAATGGCACCAGCTCTTCTGCGATGGACAGCCTACGCCTGCTGCTTTGGGCACAAAGCCAGGGAAAGAACGAGGAACCCGGTCAGTTCCAAGAGAGTTGTTGCTTCTGTGTTACAGATCCAGTGCAAAAATGTTGAAGTGGGCTGGCTGCTGACATGAGTGCTGTTGCTTGGAAGATCCCCTGATGTTCTGCAGCCACTCGTCATCTTGCGTAGAACTCTTTGTACACACACACACACACATTACACCAGCGAAGACCCCAAACAGCAATAAACCAATCAAGACGTTGCGTGAATTTAAGAACAAGACAGCAAACTCGAAGCGACAACACTTTGTACAGGACGGAGACAACAGTTTAGGATTTAAGGTTAAGGTTCAGGGTTAGGGGTTTAGGGCCTGGAGTCAAGCTTTAGCTTTCAAAGGACGTAGGGTGTGCCAGCAACAGTATAAAATCAGATTATGAAGAGAA